AACGTATATAAAAGGAAATGAAAAGAATTGGAAAATTTTGAAAACAGAACATGCGAGATCATTCGGAAAATAATTAGTTATTCATCGGTGCCAACACCTACATTCAGGATATTGAACTTTTCCTGCTCATGTGCCGAGAAATGGGTTGTTAGAGAAAAACAATCATCACTACTATTGTTTTATTTACCCCAAGAGATTCGCAATTTAAAGTGGATTTGGGATGGCTAACTTAACTTGGAACAAATGATTTTAGAAATTCTTCTAAAAACTATAGAGGATGTTATTGGAAGTCTTGTTCACTTGTTCAAAATTGCATTCGTTATTATCGTCTTTGTAAAGAACGCTGTACTATATAAATTAAGTACAAATTCTGATGAATTTCTGTAACCACATTGTTTATTTTTTACGTTAACTATTTATGTATTCTGTTTTGATTATATAAAAGTTGTTTCATGTAACCTTACATCAAAAAATCACAAGCGTTCACATCGGTAGACCTTAAAGGTCACATGGTAGATTCATTTAAAATTTTAGAATTTTAATTAAAAACAATAATTTCTGCTCTTTGGTTCTTGATATTTTCTTGGATCTTTACTGAGGTTAAGTTGAAAAACAGCCTATACTGACAATCCGCCTATTCACTGAGACAGGCTTTTGGTTCACCTAAATCGCATCAGCGAGTCTGTGTGGCGCTATGATGGTGATTCCCGAATAGGGGTTGCTCAGGCGCCAGTTTTGGTATCGCAGTTTGCTCTGCGACCCTGTGGTACATCAGAGGGTACTCAAGGTAAACTTAGTGGAGGTAAAAATAATTCCAGGTGGTCACTGCTAGGTAGCCACTATACTAGAATAAATAAAACACTTGTCTCCTTTACACCTCGTACCCTACGGTACCCTGAAAGAACGGTTAAGAACCAGCAATAAGAGAAACACAGGAATAGGTAACAAAATATATATTTACAAAAAAAAATATAAAAATGGTAGTGCTGTAAATAGAAAATTAAATGAAATGAATAATTACACTGGAAAACTAATTAAATATTAATGGCTCCCTGTATTCGGAAAATTTATTAAAAATGTATTACCAAAGAAAACTAATTAAATATTAACGGCTCCTTGTATTCGGAAAAATTTATTAAAAAAAAAATTACTACAATTGAAAACTAATTAAATATTGGGAAATATTTACGGTTCGCTAGCACATGAGGCTAAGCGGTCCGGGAATTATGAAACTCTCTGTATACGGAAAATGTATTAAAAATAAATTATTTCAAATGAAAACTAATTAAATATTGGAAATATTTACGATTCGTTAGCACAGGAGGCTAAGCGGTCCGGGAATTATGAAACTCCCTGTATACGGAAAATTTATTAAAAAAAACTAAGTTATTTAAAAATGACGGTAATCAAATGTAAGCAAATAAATGAAATCAAAGTTTTCGGAACGTATCTTAGTTCAGATCGATCGACGCTCTGGCATTATTATTATTATATTATTATATATATTTTTTTCCTTTTATCTATATTGAACAGATTTTTTTAAAATTGTCCATTTTTGTTATCTAGATTTAAGGTCTATGCTATGATTAGACATTTGACATCATAACCTCTGATTTAAATTAAAATAATGCAAATAATTTGTATAAAATTCAGTGTTTATCTTATTTTATTACTTTAGAATAGGTATAGTATTCTGGAGTTACTAATTGACGAATTTTACAAACACAAATGTTTCAAGCACAATAAAATGTTTATCCACAATTAAAAAATTACTCAAAGATTATTTCGTTTTTTTTGAAGTGTTCTTACAAATTAAACATCAAATGTCTGTTTTCTTGGTCTACGTAACAGCTTCAGGAGAGGAGATTAACTCTACACCTGCAGCAGCGATGCTGCAGAAGGCAAATGAAAATTTCACAAACCAAATGAAAGCTTCACAAACCAAATGGAAGTTTCAAAGAGAGTAAGGCGGAAAGAGCTCACCTCTTACTTGAAATGCACTTCCCTGAGACCTTACTTTTTTTAATAGGGGACACAAATAACGTAAGCAAGTCCTACAAAAAAGCCGCAGCAGTGGCCAAAGACATGTGCAGGAGCAATCGGCTAAAGTGGGTCATAAACACTTTTAAACCATTTAAGTCTCCAGATGTGGATAGAATATTTTCTGCCCTGCTTCAGTAGGCACAGAACGAATTACTATCACATATATTTCAAATATTTTGGAACAGTCTTGAACTGGGATATACACAAGAATCCTGAAAAAGAACCACCTTTATTCCAAAAGTAGAGAAAAAAGGATATCACATATCCTAAATCCCTCTGATCAATCAGCTTCACATTCTTTGTAATAAAAACAATGGAGAAGGCTGTTGAAAATAATAGACCAGAAATTCTGGAGAAGGTGCCACTCCACCATAGCCAGTACAAAGAAAGGGTGGTTTGTGTCTATTTAAATATAGACGAAGGAGACAACATGCCACACGAATCTGTCAAAAAAGCAGTATATAACACCACATCTAGATGGATGGCTCAGCTGCTATCTACGAGGACTGCAGAAACACAGATGGGACAGGACACCATTTCCATCTGCACAACCAGAAGATGTTCGCAGGGATGAGTTCTATCCCCGCTAATGTAGAGCCTCTCCGTAAACGAACTTCTATGCAGATTGACTGACCTCGGCATACCCTATCAAGGTTATGCTAGAAGCAAGTTTTGAAATACCCCGTGTGACATATTCCAAATAGTACTAGAACATGCCAAAAAATGGTACCACCAAAACAACGCTGGTAGCCTTTTAAAGCATTTCCTTTAGCCATTCCCTTTTTAGCATATTTTTTTAATAAAAGGCTTATAAATCGTAAGAATTTTTATCTCGGGCCCACCCCTTTGGAGTCGCCCTTGATCCAGAGAAACTATTATTACCGCTCTTTGTTTGACTGGTTTCATTTTTAGGAAAATAAATGGCCTACCACCACCACATTTAAGAAGTAATAAAATATTTGTAGAACTGTTAGACATAAGACCTAATTGCAAATAAAGTGTAATACTTTTGTAATAAATCCCATTAAAGTTTAGCAACTATAATGAAGCAAAGCGTTGTTTGTAAGTAAATAAATATTTGTAATTTCTTTGTTCTACAACTTAATTTTAGATTTACTTATGTTGTATCTAAATAAACCAACTATAAACGTTGTCAAATAAGCCATACTATTCACAAACTTTCATAATGCTACACTTCTAATTAAAGCAGATTACTTCTGTTTTTCACTTCCATATTATTTTTAACGTTGACAAACATTTAAATTAACTTTAATTTAACAAGGGTTGCACGGTAAGTTTTTGCGGCGTAAGTTCATATGACAGGACTAATGATCCTTTTATCCATTTTAATTAGAAGAAATTAAAAAGACATGAACTGTGCATTAGGTGGAAATAGTTTTAACTCGAGTATAAGCACAAGAAGATCTACGCAATTATTATAAGTTGACAACTATATTTACCGTAGCACTAAACAATAATTTAAAAATCACTAATAATTAAATATAATAAATGACTCAATCTAAATCATTGACAAGTCTTTCCAGATTATCCGAAGTAGTTCTTTTTGAGAAGTAAGCAATATCGAACTAAAGCCGAAATTAACTCCGAATGCAAATTGTATTTTAGGAAACGGAAAGCAGTGGAAATAGGAAATGTGCGAATCAATCACAAACTAATTACGTACGCAAGGTGAATGACGGGAAACATCACTGAATATTGGTTCCTATTGGGTAATTAATATTATGTATTGCATTTGATATTTGGTAAAGAGTTCACGTCAATATATTGATCACAACATGAAATTCAATTGCGTCATATACATAAGGAAACAACCCTAATTGTAATTAATATAATAGTAGTTAATTCAAAAAAGATATAAATGGATTTAGGACAAACAAACAAACAAACTTTTCGTATAAACTCGTTAACTGGTAATGCAGTAATTTATGATTTAGTTTGCTTTTTTTCTGGGACGACTTACAGCCTTAATCAGGGTAGCCGTTTTCCTGTAAATAGTTAGTAATAAGTTTGCTTGACCTCGACAGTAGCGCGCTTACGGTTGAACTAAACCTGTCGGTAACAATCGATAAAGTAGGGCACTACTAATTAAAACGATTTAAAAAGGGCGGACTTCATAATTTATGATAGTTAAAGCAAATTGAAGTTACATTTTCCCATTTCACAACTTTTACTTAAAACAAGAGAAAAAAATTAAATTAGTGTATTATTGTTGTAGGTAAATAGTGAAAAATGGATGTTACTTGTAAAAAATAAAAATATATTTTTAATATACCTATAATATTCATGTGGGTGTAGAAAAAGTCTTTAAATTGGATATGATAATATGCCTTATATTTAGGCACTGGTTACGAAGGGGTTTTGGGGGTCAGAACCTCCCTTCCCCCCTTTAAGGGTCCTCGCGTCACCATTTTCGCTGTTTGTGTTTATTCACTTTCTTGATGGAAACCCCCCCCCCATAGTTCTCAGAAACCCCTCCCATGAAAAATGACTGGCTACGCCATTGTATTAAGGAGTCAAAATATAAAATAAAAAATCTTTTAAGATATTAAATTACCGAGAATGCATGTTGGTGATTATTATTATACATGATCATGTCATGCCTTTATATAATAAATAATAGCTCATGACCCGTTTCTAGCAGAGATATTCATGGGTTAGACAGTAAGTTTTCCGATAGCATTTTGCGTCAAAGATTACCGATCCCTGGATATTTATGTGTCATATTATACATACAGTGAACGAATTCGTTCGAATAAACTCGTTAGATTTTGTTCGACATTCGATAAAAAATTTGTTTTGTTGTACACCTACAACGAACGAGTGCAAACTTGTTTTCTCAGCCGTTCATTTATTTTTGCAGGTAGTGTAGCAATTATTGTTTAAGTGTCATTCTCGTTTTATTTCTCTACTAAAAATAGATACCTAAAAGGACTCACCGTTCAGAACGTGTACTCTAACGCTCGCGACATCTGCGTTCGAAGGACTACATGAATATTTTCCAGAGTCTGAAATGTCGGCATGCTGGATCAGCAGGAAACTTGTTGTGACGTCCCCCTTTTCGGTTATAACACTTACACCACCACGGCTTGAATCGTAGCTTATGACCTGGAACAAAAATAAATTGTTTTTTTACTAAATTCAACTTTTAGATGGATATTTTTTAGGTTTTGAGATTTGGAATTTGCAAAAATGCTATTCCAATGATCATATTTGATTAAGACCACAGTACCACCCCCAATATTCGTAACATGAACTAATTTTGATAGATATCATTTATGTGTCATAAATTGCGAATCCTTTTGTTCAACAGATGGGGCAATATTCCATATTTAATAGTTCTTTTGTTCAACAGATGGCGTTTATTAATTCTAAACGGTAACTCTTATAAAATAACAAATTAATCACCCCTAGCCACTACGCGAATTTGGCAGATAATTAAGGGTCAGTATGGATCCAACTTATTAGCACACCCCCTGCGATCTTCAGTAACAGTAAGCACCGTATAAAGTTAGGGTATGTCCACATTCAAAGGGTACATCCTGAGGTCATTAAAAATCTCTGCCTCTAGATGGAACATCAGAGAATATGGTAACATTTTGGGTGTAACACTCGTTACTGTATTTGTAGTTAAGTTACTAGAACCTAAGTATTATTGTTTTGCAAGACCTCAATTTTAAGATTTTTCAAACGTAACAATTTTAGAAGCACTTAAAATTTAACAAACATGGTAGATAAAAATACCGTATCTTAACTGAAGTTCCTTTTGGGAATAATACAACATAATTAGTTGTTTCTCAGTTAGGATCGATATTTTATTCCCAAACAAATAAGTTATTGTGTTCATCTTGGAAACAAATGCTTAGCATTGGCTCCTGGAATCAAGGCACTCATCTATAAGCAAACCAAAAATTTTATGCATGAGACGTTTTCAATTGATTTGTTATTGAGTTTGAATTCCGCTATTTCTAGGTATCTTTGTTTGTTATGCAAATGGAGGAGTGCGTTTTCGTAGAATTGAGATAAAGGGAATCTACAGTAAACCAGAAAATTAGTTAGAGACTATTACATTTATTCTATTAATAGATTCATTGGAAATAAATATACAGTGTCGGAAAGACAATATTGTAGGTTTTGGTATAATTGAGAGAAATATGAAACCAAACGTAAGGAAGCAAGAGATAATGCAATAATAATGTATGATCAGGTAAATAAATTCTAAATACCACTCTTGACCCGTGTAGTGATATAGTTTATAGTATATTTACCCATAATTGTCAATGTAACATTTGTGTCGTTTATCTTTATAGTTAAGTTTGTGTTAAATAAAGGCATAAAACGGGTTGTTATTACATTAACCTGTGACTGAACTACTAATTTTAAAATTATTATATTGTTACGATAGTTTATTTTAAACAACAATTTATTTGTTAATAAGTTATTTGAACACTTATTTATTTACTATTCTAATTTATATATTTCGAATGTCTTTAAATTGTTTACTATTTATCTTCACCACTGTTTGTATACGACTGACTGACTCTGTGCTCCTCCACCAATATTTATATACTCATTTAAAATTTTGGTGAAGGTTCTAGAATGTTCTCACCAATTTTTACCAACACTAGTAACATTATCATTAGCTTGCACCACAAATATTTGATAAATTTTTTTCTAATGCCTGACTATGTACTTCATATCCAGGACTCCAAACAATGGATCCATATTCTAGCTTACTACGTACAAAAGCGTTAAAAATAGTTTTTAAAGTGTTAGGCTCAGAGAACTGGCGTCCATTTCGAAAGACAAAACCCAAATTTCTGTATGCTTCTTTCTGAATAGTATTGACATGTTCAATAAAGTTTAACTTAGCGTCGAAAAGAACACCAGTATTTCTAAAAGAAAGACATTTATTGATGTTAATATTGTTGACAGTGAAATTATACTCAATCGGATTTAGTTTACGAGTGAAGTTGATAGAATTGCACTTAGATATGTTTAGTGGTAAGTTGTTAGAATTGCACCAAAGGTTCAATTTATTTAGGTTCTCCTGCATAATCAGACAGTCATCAATACTGGAGATTGATTTAAACAATTTTAAATCATCGGCATAGAGTAGAGTATTACATAATAGGTTTTCAGTAATGTCATTTACAAAAATGGAAAATAAAAGTGGTCCTAGAACTGAACCTTGAGGGACACCGGAAGAAGCTGTTATACAAATTGACTGAAAACCATGGTATTCAACTTTCAAATATGATTCAAAGAAACGCAGAAAAGACGTAGTGAGTCCAACAATGGAAAGCTTGTTCAAAAGTATACTATGATCAAGACGACCAAAGGCCTTGGAAAAGTCAGTATATATAGCTTCAACCTGGCCACCCCTATCAAGGTTTTCCGCAACATATTGTGTAAACCATATCAGATTGGTCTCTGTGGATCTGCCTGGAAAAAAGCCGTGCTGTGCCGTAGATATAATCGATTTTACATGAGCAAAAAGTATTTCATAAATGACATTTTCGAAAACTTTTCCAAAATTGCAAAGGATGGATATAGGTCTGTAGTTTTCTATGATATATTTGGATCCTTTCTTAAAGATTGGACAGATTTTAGATATTTTCCAATAACTTAGAAAATTCCCTTCTCGTAAGGACATATTAAAGACCATGGTTAAGGGTTTCGCTAAAAGATTTGCACAATCTCTTATTAAAAATGCTGGAATATCATCTAGCCCTCTAGTATTTTTAGGTTTCAATCTTTTAAGACCTTTAATAATATCTTCTGTAAGTAGCGGAATGTTACAACTGTTAATATTAACAATATTATCTAATTAAGACATATCAATTTTAGACGAACTTACGGCCGCAATGGAGGTGATCTTAAATCTCACCCCTCTACATTTGATGATAGAGAATGTGGCAAAAAGGACACGATATAGAATGATCAGGAACGGAGTAATCAGACGAAAGTCTACTTGCTTCAGGACTAAAGATACCTGGGACATGCCCCAGGATGAAATGCAAAAGAAGTACAGTTTTGTGAAAAACTTCAAAACCACAGAGCTGGGCTGCAAGAAAGAATGGAGCCAAGAATCCATCGCGCTTGCAACCGAAAGACGTGCTATTCAGTGGTATACGGACGGGTCCAAAACCATAGAAGGAACTGAAATAGGAGTGTATAGGCCGAGAACCAAGCACTCCGAAAGCTTGGGAAAATACCCAAGCATCTTCCAGGCGGAAATTCACGCCATCGAGAAGTGTATCCATTTTAACATCGAGAGAAACTATCATAGACAAGAGATTATCATCATGTCCGATAGTCAAGCAGCCATCAAAGCGCTGAGCTCTTACGTAATCAACTCAAAAATGGTCTGGAGATGCCTAGAACAATTGAATGAGCTGGGCGAGAAAAATAGAGCTACTCTCATTTGCGTCCCGGGATATAACGCGGTACAGGGTAACGAGATTGCAGATAGTCTTGCAAGGAAAGGGGCTCAAACACCCTTTGTAGGACCTGAGCCGTTCTGCGGTATCAGCAGTAACATAATATTAGGGGAGATTTAAAAAGAACTGGGCAGTAGAAGAACCGATAATTGGAACAATCTCTTGGGGCTGAGACAGGTCAAGATACTTCTGGGTGAATATAACCAGAAAAGATCGGAAGCCTGCGTCTGCCTGAGCAAGAACAGGCTACGTATTGTAACAGGGATCCTTACCGGGCATTGCCGACTAAAAGGACACCTAAGTAAACGGAGAGTAGTAGAGGATAGTGAGTGCAGATTCTGTGAGGAGGAGGACGAAACCTCCATTCACATCCTAACTGAATGTGTAGCACTCCAGAATCCAAGGGTACTATATCTAGGAGGATATCAAATAGAAGAGGGAGATTTACCTAACTTGAAGCCACTTCAAATCCTACACTTCCTTGAGAAAATAGGATTGGAAGGGTCGCTATAGGCATTGAGATATTTCCTTAGTGCAGTGGCGACAGAAAGGGACACAATAGATCTTTTAGGTCGCAGTGTATTAACACCCCATTCTCAACATAACATAACATAACATAACATACGGTTTCCAATAAAAAATTATGTAGAAAAACAAATGTGGTATTCTCGAATTAAACCCCTTCTTATTTAATATTGTTTTTCTAATTTCGTAAATAAGTAAGGAGTACAACCCTGTTATACAGCCAATTTAAAATTAATTATATAAATAAAACTAAAACTAAACATAATTTTATGAAATACTATGCACAAAGCTGAAAGTTTGTTACAGAAGTTATAATTGCTAAATAGCGAAAGAATGAACCTGGTTATATTTATATAGCCAGTGAATCGCTCATGCCCGAACTGCATAAAGAGCACAATCCTAGCTGACTCCAGTTTCTGCCTGAATGATAAATTATGCAGAATCGTTCAATAGTGTGTTAACACGGTGATGAATAAGTGATAAATCCAATTAATATGGGATGACCCTTTTATTCCAATGTGTTGCTCAGCTCGATCGAATTATATCTTTGTATATAAACTAAAATTTGACTTTCCTTTGTTGACTAAAGTACTTCGTCTGTATGTTTTATTTAAAAAGGATTTCGACATTATTTTCTATTTAAAAAAGGAAGTAGTATTTGGAAATACGTAATTTAATTTGAATTATCTCTATCACTTAAACATTTTCACATAAAAAGGATTTCTTAGATATCAGTAAACAGAGAAGTGCTAAGCAGATCCTTCGTAAATGCATTTTACATGAGACCGCGCATTTTCTGCATATGAGTAGAAAAAATGTGGGAGCACCAGAACACTTTCTGTTTGCATCATAAGAATTGGATTTTTAAATTAATTCCTAATATTTTTACAGCTTACTAATTATGAATTTCAGACTTATATACCTATAGTTTTGTTATCGCATCGTATTAATTCTTCTTCTTATCTAGTTACTATGGCCACTAGTCGTCAGACATTCAGCCAGCATTAATTGTTTAATTAATTATCTCGCGCAACCCTCTTCTCATTCGGTCCCATTCTTCTTCGTTCTCAAGTCTGCAGAGGCCTAGGCCTCCCCGCTGACCCATAGGCCTCTCCACCGACCCTGAAGCCTCCTAGCCAA